TTGTACATAAGGGCTAGAAAGCAATCCTCGATGGGTAAAAGAAACAAAGTTTCTTGTGCAATATCGAAAATTCAACAGAGCACAACAAGTACGAATACTTGTTATTTTCGCCGCCATATTTAATTTATTCTTCGCATCAACTCGGAGACTTTCGTATGTTTATCGGGAATTCTCGCCGTTGCTATGCTACGTAATGTCAACAATTGTTGATCGTCTTGTTGCTATGTGATGAAAAACAGCCTTGGACAAAGATAAAACATCACTGGCGATAGTTCTCTTTGCATAACACATAGGGGGAAACGTATCCAGGAGAGGAAAACGCCATGGCCACTTCTATGGCTACAAATATCGTTGCTGATGGGTTCACGAGCAAATCAAGACTAAAAAACGCCAAGGTACGTCACGAAATATCTCTCAAACTACAAACGCCGGCCATGTTGTAATATTATACCTTATTGTTTGGCTTCGAATACGCGCTTAAATCTTCGATTCTCTTTCGGTTTTTAGGTTAAAAATCCACCAAAATGCGGAGCCTTTAAAGAAAGACCCGCAGCCAAAACAAGCTTCCGAAAATTTTACGAAAGAGGCGATTTTCCTATCGCTCTAGAGCACGACACAAAAGGCAACAAAATTGCGTGGAAGGTCGAACTTGAGAAGCTGGACTACCATCATTATCTGCCGTTGTTCTTCGATGGTCTGCGAGAAACCGAGCACCCATACGAGTTCTTTGCGAGACAAGGCGTTCATGATATGCTAGAACACGGAGGACAGAAGATTCTGCCTGTTGTCCCACAGCTTATAATTCCTTTGAAAAGCGCCTTGAATACAAGAAATCACAAAGTCGTATGCACTACTTTGAAAGTACTACAACATCTGGTCGTCTCGGGGGAAATGGTTGGCGAAGCGCTAGTGCCTTACTATCGCCAAATTCTGCCAATTTTAAATATCTTTAAGAATAAAAATATAAATTGTGGGGATCGCATCGACTACAGTCAACAACGTCGTGAAAACATGGGCGATCTTATCCAAGAGACACTGGAAAGTTTTGAACGCACTGGAGGCGAGGACGCTTTTATAAATATCAAATATATGGTGCCTACATACGAGTCATGTATGTTAAACTAATTTAAAACGAAACTGTATATTAGGACGTGTATTGTATACTCAACAATGTGAATAAACTGCTTTTAGACCGACGTTTTAGAATGCTTATATATATATATATATAGATATATAGCCTAGACCCTAGTAATGCATATATTTTATTCTAATGTTTCTGCGAAATGCGATGTATTATATGATCATGTTCTAAGAATCTAGTTATTTTTTAGATTTTGTTTTAACGCATGTAGACTGCTTGGACAGTAAACAGTATGTTTTGATGTTTAAAAATGATAAATATTTTTACGTATCTATGTTTGATTTATTTGGTTCATTATTAATTAATGATGCTACAAGCTGTTTTCACAAACACCCGATATTCCGTTTATATACACATTGAATAACGTCGGTCCCAGAACTGATCCTTGTGGGACTCCATAGCCCTTATACTTCTCTTATGAAATATTAATGATAATATTTCATAAGCTTATTGGCAAATTATGTCAACCATAATATATCACGTGAAGAGGCTTTACTGATACCTGATAAAACTCATCTTCATTTAGTATTCTCTATATAAAAGTCTATCCTAATCAGTAATCTTTATATAAAGCTTTCACACCATATTTCATAAGCTTATTTAGGAGAACCTTATGGTTTATAATATCAAACGCTTTCCTAAGGTCCAAAACTCCTCTGTCACTGGCTAATTTCCATGAGTCGACTACCATGATAAGCGCAACTGTTGTGGACGAGTTCTTTCCATAGATAGGCAAATTCAGGCTCGGTGTTTTCATGCTGGATGTTTTCATGCCTGTTGTTTTCAGGCTCAGTGTTCAGCCTCGGTGTTTTTAGGCTTGGCGTTTTCAGGCTCGGAGCATGCTCGTTGTTTTCAGGCTTAGTCTTTTCATGCTTGTTGGTTTCAGGCTCGGAGTTATCAATCAGGCTCGGTGTTTTCAATCAGGCTCGGTGTTAGTCAGACTCAGTGTGTTATCAGGCTCGGTGTTTTCAGGCTCAGTGTTTTCAGTATGCTGATGAGCACGCTCATATATATACTGCTATTTCAATTAAGGTTGTCCCCCGAGCAAAGCGGAATATATATATATATATATATATATATATATATATATATATATATATATATATATATATATATATATATATATATATATATATATATATATATA